AGAGCAGTCTCACTGAACCGGTAATTCCCTTTCTAAGCCCCAGTGTCCTCCTCTGTCAGTAGCTCTCGCCAGTCTCTATCTGTCACGCAGTGCCATAGGCAGGTGCTCAGGAGGGGTATAGCCCAACAGGTGACATGGCGTCCTCTTTGAAGAAGAAAAACCTACACAGACCTAGGAGATAGATCCAAGCCAGAGAGACATCAGCAGCCAGCCGAGGCCACCCGTGCCCTGCCCACTGTGGTGGGGTGGGGGAGGGAGACTTCCTGGAGAACCAGGTAGTTGTTGAGAATTTTGTTCCCACCTCCTCCTCGTCTCACAGGTCATTGTGGGGCTTCTCAAGTTCTGGCCAAAGACCCACAGCCCCAAGGAGGTGATGTTCCTGAATGAGCTAGAGGAGATTCTGGATGTCATTGAACCTTCAGAGTTCAGCAAAGTGATGGAACCACTCTTCCGCCAGCTTGCCAAATGTGTCTCTAGCCCCCATTTCCAGGTGAGATCCAGACCCAGCATAATCCAGCCCTGCCTCCCAGGAACTGAGGGGGTTCTTGAGCAAAGCAAGCTGTACCCACACGGAGTCCTGCCTGTCCCCACCAGGTGGCAGAGCGCGCCCTCTATTACTGGAACAATGAGTACATCATGAGCCTGATAAGTGACAACGCTGCCCGAGTCCTCCCCATCATGTTCCCCGCACTCTACAGGAACTCCAAGAGCCACTGGAACAAGTAGGAGGCTGCGGTGGGGCTCTGGTTTTGTACGCTGTGAGGGCGTGGGAGATCTAAAGAGCCGATGATTTCATCTGGTCACTCTGCAAGCAGGGATGGTGCCCACTGTACGTTCCTAGGACCTTGAAGGACTGACTAGGGAGAAAAGATACCTGTGAGAGATCTCGGGGGTCACAAACAGCAGAGCAGTGGCCTGCATTACACTGCTTCTTGCACTCGGATATTATGTCTTTTTGGAGACTTAACTCCATGCTTTAGGAAGCTGATGTGATCTTCTTAATGTGTTGAATCCGTGTTGTAAAAAGGCTTTCCTGGTAAACACAAACACTGCAGTGCAGACACACCTCCCGTTGCCGGGAGGCCGTCAGTGTGGGCTGCTGCGGAAGAGGCGGTGGGGGGAAGGCAGGTCGTAGAGCACAGGGCGAGGGGAAGGATGGGTAGGCCGAGCGATATCTGCGAAGACCCTGAAATGTCAAGCTGGTCACATGGTTTGACCAGAGATGAGTTTACACTGTAGAGAGGTTTGGGAAATGGGCGTGGTGAATGAGAAAGCTCTTAGCAGAGACACCTCCTAGAAGAGAGCGAAATGGGACCTGGCACTAAGGGCAGGCTCTGGCCCCTCACGCTTCTTTCCCCCGGTGGCAGGACAATCCATGGACTGATCTACAATGCCCTGAAGCTGTTCATGGAGATGAATCAGAAGCTGTTCGATGACTGCACACAGCAGTACAAGGCAGAGAAGCAGAAGTGAGTGTGTCTGTGCCCCGGGGGCTTTGGTCATCCATCACCAGCCCCCTCCACTTCTCTCTCAAACTCCTCTGTCTTCGTTCCCTCAGGGGCCGGTTCCGAATGAAGGAAAGAGAAGAGATGTGGCAAAAGATTGAAGAGCTGGCCCGGCTTAATCCCCAGGTGAGGCTTTCCTGCCACCGCCCGGAACTGAGGGGCCACCTTACTTAGGCTGGGGGCAGGTTTGAGGAGGAGTAGAGCACAGGTGCAGACTTCTGAAGTGGTTCCCCCACTTGTCGATCCCTCCTCAGTATCCCATGTTCCGAGCTCCACCACCGCTGCCTCCTGTGTACTCGATGGAGACAGAGACCCCCACAGCAGAAGACATCCAGCTTCTGAAGAGGACAGTGGAGACAGAGGCTGTGCAGGTGACAGGGCACAGAGGGAGGTGGCAGGGGGTTGGGGGGAGAGCAGAAATAAGGACAGCTCTGGGAGGGGGAGGAGACAGGAACAGCAGAGCCAAGGAGGGAGGGGGGAAATAATAGAACCTACTGGGATTTGGTCACCATTCCTTGTTTTCTCCATGTCTACACACAGATGCTAAAAGACATCAAGAAGGAGAAAGTGCTGCTTCGGAGGAAGTCAGAGCTGCCCCAGGACGTGTACACCATTAAGGCGCTAGAGGCTCACAAGCGGGCGGAAGAGTTCTTAACTGCCAGCCAGGAGGCTCTCTGACGCCCTCACCTTCCCTTCCCTGCGCAGGGCCACAGCCCACTCAGCCCTGGGACGCTGCCCCACCCTCCACCCTCTGCTCCCCACTGGCTGACTTGGGGCAAGGCAGTGCCTCTCTAGCTACTCTAGGGAGGGTGATGGGGCATGTGAAGCAGGGACACTCACAGAGTGGTCCGTCTTCTCCCCAAAATGTGTCCATGCCTCCCAGTGGCTAGTGCAGACAGGCTGAGCACTGAGACGTTCAGCGTTCAGACAGCTGGGATGCCGGTCCCCTCCTGCTCCCAACCCCACAGCTACCTGAGGCTGCTGAGAAACACACACAGGAATCCATATGCCCCTCCCCTCTTCCCTTCATCCTCATCTGAACTCCAGGGGTCTCCTTTTTTCCTCCTCTGCAGAGCACACAAGGAGCAGCAGGAGATTCTTCTCACCAAAGTTATGTCAAGCCCCAGTGGCCCCTAAAGTCAGTAGCTGGAGGGTTGCCAGCCCCCAACAGCACAAAGAGGCCCCCAGCCCCTGCAATGTGCAGGCTGACAGGGCTGTACTATTTCCTCTTACCCCCTGCCTGACCAAGACCATGTAGGTGGTCAAAAAACTGCATAGGCTGTGGACAACAGGTGATGAATAGAGCCCAGCTGGATCAAGAGAAGGGGGATGAACACACACCCTACCTTGTGCCCTGTCTTTGGTGAGCACAGCCCTAGGATCATAGATATGGAAGGGACCACCTGGGGCTGACTGCTTTCCTGTGCTGTTGGTTCCCAAAGTTAGGAGGAAGGAAGCAGGGAGCAGTGTCCTAAGCATGGCTCCCCCTCAACACCTATTTATTTGCTTGTTTGTGCTGGGCAGACCCTCACTTGTCCCTTTTAGGCATCATGGAGGGGCAAGGGACTTGGGAGAGCCAGGCCTGGGTTCCAGAGGCACAGGCAGTGCAGCTTGTGGCTGTGTACACAGGGTGCTTTATTCTCCAGAGTGATACATACTGTGGTGGGTTGGGCTTGGGCCAGTGTCCCCATATGTACAGAACTGAATAAAGTGGGTCTCTGAGAAGAAGTCTGGTTTGCCTTGATGTGGAAAGGGAAATGGGGAGGATGGAGATGGACATTACAACCAGGGATGTGTCCAGTCCTGTGCTGGTTCCAGTCTGGAATGCTGGCAGGTAAGGCAGCTCTCAAGATGGTCACTTCCAGGCAGGGGATGCCTGCCGGGCTTGGAGAGCCTTCTGTACCATGTCTTCCCACTGGGCATCTGATATCTCCCGAGCCCAGGCAGGAACTCCTGGTGCAGGCAGGCTTACTCCAGCCATTGTCCTTTTCACCAGCTCTACGTGTTCTGAAAGCACAGGTAGAGACCAATTAGTGCACAGAAACAATGGGACCAGCTCCCTCTCTATTTGTTGAGTTAAACCAGGGCCCTTGGGTTAGCAAAGTCACCAAATCCATCTGGTATTTCTGGGCAAGCCTGCCCATTCCCTAAATCTAGCAGAATGGCATTTCACCCAGATTGTGAAGTCTGCAAAATACAGATTACAAAGTGTCATTTTAGGAAGAGGGTGTTGCTCTGTGACCTCTATTGGCTCTGGCCAGTCCCTTTCCTCCATAATTATGCCAGAATAAAAATAAAAAGGGATCTCTTTTACCTGGATCCATGGGAATAGAGCTGTGGTTGCTCAATGCTGTAGCTCCCTCCTCATCTTCATCATCGCTCTGTAATGGTGGGTCTGGCAAATGAAGCCCCAGAGCCTGAACAGCCAGAGAGAAGACAGTTCGGGGCCGGCCCTTCAAGGGTCCCAGCTTTACCTGCTCAGGAACAATGCCTCCTCCACCATACCTGGATCCGATCCTGGATATCGGCAACTACATCTTCTCCATCCCCCACTGGTGCCAACTCCACCTCCTCTGGTTCAGGGTCTTGGTTCAGGGGCTGGTAGGAGTAGCCGGCTGGGCCTGCCTCGGTTTCCTCTTGCTCTTCTTCAGGCTCCTCACTGCTCCAATCCCCAGTGCCTTCTGTAGGGCCCTGCTGCGGCCCTAGTTCCTCAGTCTGATTGGGGAAGATACGCTCAGGGCCCATGATGTCTCCCCCTAGAACTACTGTTGCCATCCGGGCAGGGGCTGCAAGAACAGGGAGGCAGGATAGGGCTCTGATGAAATCAGGTTTACATTCAGCCTCCAATCCAACTTCTTGTGGTTTTCTGGGTCCACAAAGCATTTCAACGCCCCCAACCCACCCCAGCATCTCCTAGGCCTTCCATCTTTTAAGTCAGTTCTTATTTCAGGACGAGGCCCACTCGCCTCGTTTGGGGCCTACGCTAAACAACAGCCCAACCGCAGACCAAGCTTTCTCCCCTAACACACCCCCTTCCAGAGCCCCGCCTCTCCGCCCCCACTACTGACTCGGGAACTCCGGGTCACCAAACAAGCTCCCCGAGACAAGGAATACCCGTTCCCTCCTCCCCTCAATATCGTTCCCCTTTGTACCACCTGACAAAGGCCCTTCAGGCCCCAGGGGCTTCTCTTAAATGGACCCAGCTGAGCGTTCCCCACCCACCCCCGCCAATTGTCCGCTCCGGTAACTCCGCGCGCCTCACCCGCTCTGAGCCCGGGACCCAACCCTCACCTTCACTTCCGGCGGGGTAAGAAGTGCTTGGATGCCAAGTCCTCCAGCCCCGCCCCATGCTCATGATTGACGCGAGCGTGGACAACGACTCCGCCCCCTGCCCCGCCCCTGTTATTGCTGGTCCAGACAGCAAAGAACTACACTACCCAATGACCCCCACGGGTTTGGGTTGGTTTTTTTTGGCGCTTTTTTTTTTTTTTTTTTTTACACATAGGCGTAGAATCTCTTTGGGATCCTGCCCATTCCTCTGCCCCTCGCGTCCGTCCCGAAACTGGGGGACTACAAGTCCCGGTAGGCTTCCGGAACTTAGCTCTGACTGTACGTGCGCACTCAGCTGCCCGCCGGAAGAATCGAGCTTGGCTGTGTTTATCTTGTTGGGGACCGAGTCGTCGGTTGACGCTCAGCGGGTTCCAGGCTGCCCGCGACCCCGCCCCGGCCCGGCCTGGCAAGGTAGCGCGGGATGGGTGGTGTTACAAGGAAAATTGGAGGTGCTGGGGACGTCCTTCCCCAAGCTGAAGTCGTGGGGAAGGGGCCTGAGAGTGATGAGGTGGGGGTGGGGAGGGAACTAAGGGAATGATGGGAAAGGAGAGTGTTAATGGGGAAGGAAGGGTCGGTCGGTGGAGGATGGAGAGGTGACGGGTGAGAGAGATCTGGTGGCTGGAGAAGGCATTGAAGAAATTGGAAGGAAGGCTGGTTATGGGGAGAACGAGGAAGCTGAGGATAATGGAAGCGTGGGTGGAGGGGCTATCTGGAGCTGTGGGGGAGGGGAGGTTGGGATGACTGGAAGAATCCAGAGATCGCGTCATATACAGGGAGGAATACTTCTGGCCGAAAGATGTTAATGACTATTAGCATTTTCACCCTTAGTGGAAGAGGGAAGATGGAGAGCTGTCGGATGGAGCTTGGAGTGTTGGGAAAAGGAGAAAACCGCAAAGCTCCCAAATCGAAAGAGCCAGAAATGGGGAATGAAAATTGCAAAAGACCAGGGAGGAACTAGGCACGTGAAGGGAATTAAAGAAGTTAAGAATGTGGTAATCGTGGAGTATGGGGGAAACTCCAAGATAATAGAGACCCTGAGACTTTAGGGGCTTGTTTCCTATGAGCTTGAGCTCTCCTTGTGGAAGAGAAGCTAAGATTCTCTCTCCACCTTTGCATGGAATTGCTTCTCTCTGCCCCTATGAATTCTTTACCTTGACACAGCTGAAGGGGAGTAGAAGCTATGAGGGAAGGCAAAGGACTCCCATTCTTAAGCACTTCAACCTCTCTGCAAGTCCAGATCCAAGATATTTTGGATTGAGGACAGGAGTAATAAAGAGCTCCTGCTGGGGCTCTTTCAAGTTTGGCAGGGCGTCTATTTAAAGCCTGGGGTGGGGGTTGAGGGAGGTTGGGTGGGGGGTAGGGGACTTGCAAGCCAGCTGAAAGCCATGTCTCTTTTTTTGCGAGGGGCCTCCCTTACTTGAGCTTTCTAGGTGCCTGAAGTTCTGCCTTGAACAGGGAGCAAATGATCTACCCAAGCACGGCAGGTGCCTGCCAGCCAAGGCAGTGCCAGCTGCAGGAGGCTTTGCCTGTCAGAGCTTTCAAATGTATACATTCTCACTAGGTTGCAGGTTGTCTTAAAGAGATCATGACCTCTTGTACTTGGGTCTTTTTTTTCTCCTGCTCAAGGCCACTTTTGCTCCCCTTTTTTCCAGGGCATACCCACATCGCCACCCCCGTTTCAGGGTCCCAAGTGGGAGAATAGCCGCTGGAAACACTGTGTCTCTACCAGAATAGCAGGGTTGGGGAAGTGGCAGGAAAAGAAAACCCCTCCTCCCCTCCCCCACTCCCTCAATCTACAGCAGACACATACCTTTCTGGCTTAAGGTCCTAGTTTTGGCAGCATACCAGGCCCAGCTGTCAGAGGAACTCCTCAGGCCTGTGAGGTGCCCTGGGTGACCCCAACAACAACAGCTCCATTTGACAAGAGCTTTCTGTGAGGGGCTAACTACCCATGGTAACACAGAGGTCCCTATCCTGGATCCCACCCTGTCTTAGAAAGCGGGACTGTCCCACTGTAAAAGCCTAAAAGCTTTTCTGCTGGAAGCACCCATGCCAGCTTTCAGTGGACTCTTTAGGGCTGGCTAGGCTATTAATAGCTCTGAGTATTTTGAGATCCCTCTCCCCACCTTAAAGAGCACAGAGATTCTTAGAGAGGTGGCAGTAAGCAGAGCAGAGTCAGATACAAGAGAAGCCATCACCCTGGGAAGGGAGCTTGGGGCTTGTGCCAGACCATGGGCATGGTGGAGCCTCTGTGAGTAGGGGACGCTCATGCAGAAACCTCCATCAGCAGGCTCTGAGCTGGCCAGCGGGCAGGTTGGAGTAGCCCCACCCTTTGCTTTTGGAGAACACAGAACTAGGGCTAGCTCCTTGACCTCAGCAGCTCCTCTGGGGCAGGGCCAGCCACCTGAGCTGTGGAGGGCTGGTATGGGAGGGACACCAGGGTGACACATAGAGGAAAGGGCTGGTCCTGGGCAGAGTTCTAGTGAGGCAGGCAAAGAGCCTTGCCTGAGTAGGCTGTGGCCCCAATTTGTACGCAGGTAGCAGAGACAGCAGGCCGTGCCGGGGGGGCATGTTGCTGTGACCAGTGGCCCAGGGGATGTTACGGTGGACAGTGCACCTGGAGGGCGGGCCCCGCAGGGTGAACCATGCTGCAGTGGCTGTCGGGCACCGAGTCTACTCCTTTGGGGGTTACTGCTCTGGTGAAGACTATGAAACACTGCGCCAGATTGATGTGCACATTTTCAATGCAGGTAAGCTAATGCTGGGAACATCCTTGGGCGCCCACATGGAGGGGAATAGGTGGTTGAATGAATTGTGGTGGTGGGCCCCCTGGCCAAAGGGGATGAGAGAATGATACCTTGTTTGAGAAAAGTTAGACAGCCTTGGAAGAAGGTTCCCAGGGCTGAGCTGAGCTGTGTCCACAGTGTCCTTGCGCTGGACAAAGCTGCCCCCAGTGAGACCCACCATCCGTGGGCATGCTCCTGTGGTACCATACATGCGGTATGGACACTCTACCGTCCTCATCGACGACACGGTCTTCCTTTGGGGCGGGCGGAATGACACAGAAGGGGCCTGCAATGTGCTCTATGCCTTTGACGTCAGTGAGTATGGAGCTACGTTCTCCCACATGGGGCCTCGTGGGGCTGGGACGGTGTTGGCTGGGCTGGGAAGGGGGTACTCCAGTCTAGGAGGACTGTCAGAGGTGCTTACCTGGCCCACGCTCTCACCTCCTTCAGATACGCACAAGTGGTCCACACCCCGTGTGTCAGGAACAGTTCCTGGAGCCCGGGATGGACATTCGGCTTGTGTCTTGGGCAAGACCATGTACATTTTTGGAGGCTATGAGCAGCTGGTAGGTCTGGAGAGAAAGTAGAGGTTTAGGGTGGGAATGAGATAGAGGAGGGCAACTGAGGAGGGTGGGACCCCGGGAGGCTCTGCCTCGCTTTGTGGGTTTTGAGGGGAGGCATGGAGGGTCAGAGAGTGACTGCTGACCCCATCTTATATTCCTTTCTCTACTTCCTGTCTCTTCCCACTTAGGCTGACTGCTTTTCCAATGACATTCACAAGCTGGACACCAGCACCATGACGTGGACCCTTATCTGTACAAAGGTCTGCCCTTTCTTCTTTATCCCAGGTCCCCACCCTCAGTCGAAGAAACTGTGGAAAGCTCAGATAGTGAGAGCAGATCCTATCGCAGCCTTCGTGCTGACCTTCATCTCTTTGCTCCTGCCCAGGGCAATCCTGCACGCTGGAGGGACTTCCACTCAGCCACAATGCTGGGCAGTCACATGTATGTCTTTGGGGGCCGCGCCGACCGCTTTGGGCCATTCCATTCCAACAATGAAATTTACTGCAACCGCATCCGAGTCTTTGACACCAGGACTGAGGCCTGGCTGGACTGTCCGCCCACTCCAGTGCTGCCAGAGGGGCGCCGGAGCCACTCAGCCTGTGAGTGTCTGATATGTCCCTGCAGACTCCCCCTTCCTGCCCGTTGTCCTCACACTCTGGATATTCTTCTCTCCTTCCAGTTGGCTACAATGGAGAGCTGTACATCTTTGGTGGCTATAATGCAAGGTTGAACCGGCACTTCCATGACCTGTGGAAGTTTAACCCTGGTAAAGAACACTGCTTTTAAGAAACAAGTAGCAATTGAAGGGGGAGGAAAAGAAAGAAATAATCCTGAGTAGGTGAGAGGTCAAGGTTGGAGAGGATGTTGACTGGGTATGTATTAAATGTCCATATAAACTTCTCTTTAGTGTCCTTTACCTGGAAAAAGATTGAACCGAAGGGAAAGGGGCCATGTCCTCGCCGGCGCCAGTGCTGCTGTATTGTTGGTGACAAGATTGTCCTCTTTGGGGGTACCAGGTTGGTAGGGGAGCGGGGAGGGCTCAGGGAAGGGACCGAGTCTGTGGCTGACGTGGGAGGCGTTTGAGCAAGACAGCCTCATGGGTCTGCTTTCTTCTTTCCTTTCTCTTTGGACCCCTGTAGTCCATCTCCTGAGGAAGGCCTGGTGGATGACTTTGACCTCATAGATCATTCTGACCTACACATTTTGGACTTTAGTGAGTATACTTATTCCCAAAGTGCTCCCGCCATCAGGTCCAGGACCAAACCCTTCCTCAGCTTTGACCATCTCCCTCTCTCCCGTTCCTCCTCTCAAGGCCCTAGTCTGAAGACTCTGTGCAAACTGGCTGTGATTCAGTATAACCTGGACCAGTCCTGTTTGCCCCATGACATCAGGTACCGTGAGTGATTGGAGAGGAGGGGTTGGTTGAGGGTGGGCGGCAGCACAAGCATGACCTGGTTAGCTTGGTCTCAGTGTGGAGGAGTAGAGTTTTTGTTCTGCTGGAGGTGTAGCAGGCTTATGAAGAGTGAGATGGAAGGGAATATAAACCGTCTGCTGGGTAAATTACATGAAATTGTTTTTCAAACCAAGATCAGAAGCATTGCTTTTTTTAAAAGATTTTGTTTATTTATATTTAGAAAGAGAGGAAGGGAGGGACAAAGAGAGTCAGAGAAACATCGATGTAAGAAAGAAACACCAGTGAGTTACCTCTCGTATGTGCCCTGACTGGACTGAACCCACAGCCCAGGCATGTGTCCTGACCAGGCGTCGAACCAGTGACACTTCACTTTGTAGGACTGCACCCAGCTAACTGAGCCACACCAGTCAAGGGTTTTTGTTTGTTTGTTTAATTTTTATTTTAGGGAGAGAGAAACATTGACTTACTGTTCCACTTATTCATACAGTCATTGGTTGCTTCCTGTATGTGCCCTGACATGGGATCAAACCTGCAATCTTGGCCTGTCAGGACAACATTCTAACCCACTGAGCTACCCAGCCAGGGCAAAAGCATCACTTCTTGAGCTCTGAGCCTATACAGTTGCTTTTGTTAACATGCTACGGAAGTTTGATTACATCTTAGGACCTAGCTGCAAAGTAAAGACAAGTTCCAGAATTAAGATTAGTTTTCCTAGCTACTTTCCTTTGAATATCACTCTTAGGTTCAAAGCAAGCACTGAAAGTCCTTTGTGTATAATTGTGCCCTTCCGGGTCATTCTATGACCCATCCCTCTCCTTGTTTCAGTTCAGTTTAACTGTTACTTGCTAAGGGTCTGTGTGCACGAGGCTGAACTGGTGGGTCATAGGCTGGCCCAGGACTGACTGACATGCAGGCACCTAATACCAAGTAGATTACAGTGAGGGTTTTGGCCTAAGGAGGTTCTTGGTATATCTTTTTAGAATGACAGAATTGTAAAAAAGATTTAATTTTAATATGAATGGGATGAGTGGGAAAGGACTTATTAGGGAGAGAAGAGCAGAATCAGGCTCCTTGAAAGGAATGGTAGTTCAGAGCAAAATGGGCATTCCTGATGTGGGGAGGAGGAGCTGCCTGGTGGGATCTGAGCAGAAGAGAAAAGGTAGGTTGGGACCTTTACTGAGATGTGTACACCCATGGTTTTCTCCAGGTGTTGGGCCCAAGAGTATCTATATAAACATAAACAGGAAGTTCACCTGAGCTTGCAGGTGGAGTTGTGGGTGGTATTGGATTTGATGGTGGGTGGTATTGGATTTGGTGGTGGGTGGGACCCGATAAACATAGTAGGGCTATAAGGAAGAGGTGGCTGTTGATAGTTAAGCTTTAAAGAAGTTGAAGGCACTGATGTATTCATAGTTTGTTAGCAGTTCTGGGCTTGGGGGATGGAAGCTCCTCCTTCTGTCTTTATGCCTGTCACCATTTGCCTTCCAGATGGGAGCTGAATGCCATGACCACCAACAGCAATATCAGTCGCCCCATTGTCTCCTCCCATGGGTAGGAGGAAGTTCTGCCGGCACCCCTACTGAGCCTGCTCTTGTCTTCACTGCTCCTGCCCATCTCTCACCTGCCTGCCCCTTTGGACCCTGGTTTACCTCTATGTGGAGTTGTTGGACTAGAGGTGTTTTCAGTGCTGTGAACTCAGTGGGGAGTTGTGGGGGGAGGGCTAGGTTCCCTCCCTCCTTGGGCCGAGGGCCCCTTCCCTTGGTGCTCTGTCCCATCCACCTCCTTCCAACTGCACCTGGGTCTCTGCTCTGCCCCAGGCCGGCCAGGCTCTGCTGAGAAGTGAAGGGAATGGAGAGAAGGGAGAAGCAAGCAGTGTCTGGGCCTCGGCAGCTTCCCCCAGCTCTATTTTCACTCCGACCCTGCTTAAGCCAAGAGCACTGATTGGGAGCTGAGAGAAGTTGCAACTGTTGCCAGGAAACCTCCTGCCAGACCTGGGGAAGGCGAGGACCAGCAGATAATCCCACCCTCCTTCCTCGAGCTGTTGCTGTAACCCTGATGCTGTCAGCCAGCTCAGATTTTATAAAAATGAATTAAAAAAACTCCAAACGTAATCATCTGTTTTTTTGTGGAATGCGATTGCAAAGGGGGCTGGGGTGCTGACTTCCGGCTTCTCGGCCAGGAGCATCTGCAAATCGAATACCACTGCGGCCTGGCCCTAGCTTCTCCGGCGCTGAGGCCAGGGCCCTGCGACAAAAAGGTGCCTGAAAATCGAGTGGGCGTCCCTTGCGGCCTAGACCTTCCAGGCTGCACTCCCGGTTCTCCCACAGCAGCTCCGCAGTCGCCACGTTAGTCTCTAGTGCTGACTCGGCTCCAGAGGCCGCCGGAAGAGGTGGGGCGGGAACCCTCGGGGCGGAAGTAGCGCCATTTGTCCTCGCCGTGCGTAGCGAGCCCATGCGGAGAGGAAGCCGCCGCGTCCCGGCGCTCCCCGGGTCTCCCGGCGGAGCCCGGGACTACGAGGAGGACGGCGGGGGCGTGGGGCCTGGGGACCTACGGAAGGGTGAGGGCGCGCGGTAGCGCGGGACGGGAGGAGGGCCAGATGCGGGGCTCCCTCTCTGGTGCGGGCAACGAGTCTGCAGCGCAGTTGCTGTGAGCCTGCTAAATTCTCTTTAAGGCCAACACGAGGAGCGTCCCCAGCACTAAGAGAAATGAGGAGTGAGAGGGGATGCTCACTGGGCTAGGACATCCTGAGCAGTTTCTTAAAGCGAGGATGAGGAATATTCCCTAGGGAAAAGAGGCATCTGCAAAAGCAGAGTCAGAAAAGGGCACGGGTTGCTGGGGAAGAAGGATTAGTAGGTCAATATTCAAGAAATTTAGCAAACATTTATTTAGCATCTGTATGCAGGCACAGCTCTAGATGCTGGAGATACAGTAATGAGTAAAGCAGATAAAAGCCCCTGTTCTTATGGAACTTACCTATTAGAAAAGGCAGGTAAAAAACAAAAACAAACAAACCACGTGTCTTGGCTGGTGTGGTTCAATGGATTGAGAGCCGGCATTCGAACCAAAGGGTTGCTGGTTGGATTCCCAATCAGGGCGCATGCCTGGGTTGCAGTCCAGGTCCTCAGTAGGGGGTGAATGAGAGGCAACCACACACTAATGTTTCTCTTCCTTTCTCCCTTCCCCTCTCTAAAAATATATAAAATCTTTTTAAAAAATATGTAAATTAATATATTAAAAGACAGTCCTGGCTGGTGTGGCTCAGTGGACTGAGCACTGGCCTGTGAATCAAAGGGTCGCCAGTTCGATTCCCAGTCGGGGCACATGCTTGGGTTGCAGGCCACAACCCCAGTAGGGGACGTTTGAGAAGCAAGCACATATGGATGTTTCTCTCCCTCTCTTTCTCCCTCCCTTTCCCTCTAAGAAATAAAATCTTTAAAAAGATATACACACACACACAACATTAAACACAGGATTGTATATTGTAAATGGAAAATTTTATGGTATGTGAATTGTATCTCAATTTTCCCAAAAGGTGATAAGGGCTGTGGAAAGAAAGAAGGCAGGGGAGAGGTTGCAATTGTCAGTGATCAGAGTAGGCCTCACTGAGTATGTGACATTTGAGCAATGGTTACAGGAGGTGAGGCAGCGGATGGGATGGTGTCTTTCCAGCAGTGGGAGGTGCTGAGCTGAGCTGTGTGTCCCTCCCCACCTTACCCTCTTCCACAGACACATCTAACATGTCATTTGAGGAGCTGTTGGAGTTGCAGAGCCAAGTGGGGACTAAGAATTACAAACAATTGGTAGCTGGAAACAGCACTAAGAAGCAAGGTTCTAGACCACCTGTCCAAAATGCGTGTGTTGCAGACAAGCACAGGTGAGGAGCAAGGCCTGCCCCAGGAGTTATAGGATACTGGGACTTTGAGTAGGTGTCTGCTTTCTCAGGTGGCAGGTGACAGGTGGGAGGCTTTTGACCAAGACTGGGGTCCCCTTAAACTGTCCTTTAATTTTTCCATAGGCCTCTGGAAATGTCAGCCAAGGTCCGGGTGCCATTTTTGCGTCAGGTTGTTCCCATCAGTAAGAAGGTGAGAAAGAGGCAGGAAATGCTTTCTTGTGAAAAGAGACTGAACTGTTTTTTAAATATTTTGTGTTCTCCCCAAAGGTAGCCCGGGACCCCCGCTTTGATGATTTGTCAGGGGAATATAATCCTGAAGTGTTTGACAAAACATACCAATTCCTGAATGATATCCGAGCCAAAGAGAAAGAGGTATGCTCTGTGACTCTGGTTCACGGGGTCCTGAGGGGTAGGAAACTAGGGCACAGGTCAGAGAGTCTGGCAGAGGGAACCAGGAACATGGTGGTGGGGCAGGTTTAATTCTTCCTAATTTGGTTCTTGTAGTCAAACCCTGGCTTGTCAGTTTATTAGCTGATCATTGGCACAAGTTATTTAACCTGGCTTTGCTTCAGTGTTCTAATCATAAAAAGAATAATAATTTCTGTCTTATAGTGTTACTGAGGTAATGTATGTACACCTCTTAGAGTAATGCTTGGCCCAGAATTTCAGCTAACATTTACAGAATGCTAATCCTGATATTGATTTCCCACTGTGGAGCTTGTGAAAAAGCAATTGAAGAAGCACCGTTCAGGGGAGGAGCATGAGAAGCTGCAGTTGCTGCTTCAGCGGATGGTGAGTCAGAATTATGTGTGAGTGGTAAAAGTAGTTCGAGGCAAGAGGTGATTCACAGTCTCTCCTGTTCACCCATTTCATTTTTGCTCCTCAGGAGCAGCAAGAAATGGCACAGCAGGAACGAAAGCGGCAGCAGGAGCTGCACCTGGCTCTGAAGCAGGAGCGGCGGGCTCAGGCCCAGCAGGGCCATCGTCCATACTTCCTGAAGAAATGTGAGTGGGGCACAACTGTTACAGGCTAGTTACAGGGACGGGGTCGGAGACCATAGTAGGGTACTGTGTTGGAGGTCCGTGAGCTTACCAAGCGGAGCATGAAGATGATCCCATGGTAAATTGGAGGAAAGTAGAAGTGTAGTAGGGAGGAGTTATTTGTAACGATTCTTGTTTCCCTAATTAGATTGTGGGCAGAGGATGTTGCTTTTATCTCTGTCCTACCCCCGACGTGCTGGGCTGGGCGTGCTGGAGCTAACAAACAGTTGAACTGAGAAAGAATAGAGTCAGAAAACATAGATTTGCATACACACACCAGAGAACCCATAAAGTTATGTATCTCAGCACAGTGGTTGAGAATTATTGCTGGGGAAAGGAAAAAAGGGGTGCGTCCTTCTTGGCTCATGGACTTTTTTTTTTCCTGTTGTCTAGCTGAGCAGCGCCAGTTGGCCCTAGCTGAAAAGTTCAAGGAGCTGAAACGTAGCAAGAAGCTAGACAGCTTCTTGACTCGAAAAAGGCGCCGAAACGCAGGCAAGGACAGGAGACATCTCCCTTTGAACAAAGACTGATGAGGAATTGTCCTCAGCTCTGCTGCTGCCCCAATGAGAAATGGATCTGTAGGGACAGACTCAGGCTGGGCCTGCCCTGGTTCTTTCCCATTCAAGGACAAGAATCACAGCTGCTCTTTGACTAAACTGGTTCAGAAATGACTTGAGGGTTCTTGGACTGCCCCAGGGCTGGATAATAAGAGCAACTCAGCCTTCCGCCATGCTATACTTACTCTGCTTGGACCTGGTGCATCATGTCCTCCTGGCCTCCAATCTTTGCATTAAACCAATGATTCTGACTGAGGAAAAAAGGGTCAGTGACCTCCAGGCTGGAGAAGGCCATGCAGTCTATTGATGGCTCCCAGGACTCAGACTTTATGTAGGAGCCAGTTCATAAATATTCTTGTCACTCATCTTTTTGTTCTGCTTTTTGTTTGGGGTTTGTGGGTGGCCTAGAATTACTGTCTTGGTGGGCCACGTGTGGAGGCAGTAGAAACTTAAGGCCTCTACAGAGTGGGAAGTAAGATCAGAGATCCCTTTTACTTAAACCCAAAAGATGGCACGATCATTTAAATAGTGAACCAGTCCCACAACTCACCTACTTAACTTTCATTTTGGATGCAAGGGGAGGTAGGAAGTAGGAAAAACGCTTCCCCGGTAACGCAAGCACAGCTGGCTCTCCATACTGTTTGGGTCTCAGAGTCACACTACCCATGTGGACTGGAAAATCCTCAAGCCGATAGTTCAGTTTAAAGTGGTCTCAGTCTGGTAGTGCCCCAGGCACCTGGCAGCAGCAAAAGCAGGTCTCTTGAGGACTGTCGTTTAAACCTAGGCCTCAAAGAATTAGGTACCTCCGATAAAATGTCAAAGTTTCTGAGTTTACAGTGAAACGGCATGCACACAGGGTAGGAAACCACTATGAGCAAGTCACTAGGAACAATAGATAACAGAATCAGACAAGCAAAGACAGATGTAGACAGTATAACATGCAAAATACAAAATGTCTTATGTTTAATGAAAAAGTATGACAAATGAAAAGGATATGAGAAAAGCACCAGATTAGCTTGTTTAAAACTAAAAAGTGAAAATACAAATTTAGAAACTTCATGGTTAAGCAGTAGATTAGACACACCTGAAAAGAGGATGACCGGGAAGTAAATGAAGATGTTACACAGGTGGAGCACAGGGATACAAAGAAGTGGAGACTAAGGAAATGAGGTTAGAAAACACTAGTGGAGAGGAGAATGTAAGGGGACTAAATGGTAGTGGGGGGAAGAATACTAAAACCGCCCCCCCCAACACGAGATAGAGTGAGAAGGTGTGACATACCAAAGTTCTAGAAGGTGTGAATAAGGCTGAAGCTTCTCTAGAATTGAAATTTATAAACCCTAGCTCAGGAAATTCCAAGCAGGAAGGAAAAGAAATATTAGATAAAGCACAAAAATTAACAGGACATCAGGAAGACTAACATCTAAAAAACAGCTATAAAGAAAAGAGCACACTGGTCAGGTAGCTCAGTTGAGAGCATTGTCTTAATACACCAAGGCTGCAGGTTTGATCCCTGGTCAGGGCACACACAGGAAGCAACCAAAGAGCACATAAGCAAGTGAAACAACAGACGGATGTACCAATGTTTGTTTCTGCCTCTCTAAAATGAAATTTAAAAAAAAAAAAAGCAAAGCACGGGGCAGGGGAAAGGTGGAAGAAGCTAGGTTGTGCCCTGGCTGCGGCGGCTCAGTGGATTGAGCGCTGGCCTGAGAACCAAAGGGTCGGTTGGTCGATTCCCAGTCAGGGCACATGCCTGGGTTTCAGGCCAGGTCCCCAGTGGGGGGATGTGAGAGGCAATTGATGTTTGCCTCTCCCTCTTCCTCCCTTCCCCTCTGTCTATTTATAAAGTCTTTAAGAAAAACTAAACAAAGAAACCTAGGATGTCTATTGCTGGATACTTCTGGAATGGGGTACAAGATGTTCCGGTGACAGTGAGATGAAGCATGTAAGCAGGAGGCTAATTACAGGGCAAGTTTGCCTTGCCCAGAAGGAGGAGGGGTCTAGAGCTGTAGGGTCCCCAATGACATGCGACAATGCTACTTTAAAGGCAAAGAACAGATTCTAGCTGATAAAAGCAGAAAAAGACTATTGAACTATTAGGTTCACAGAAACACTAAGGTTGGAGAGTAGCTTAAAAAGTGTGTGTTGGAAAGGGAGGTGGTTCTGAGCAGTAAAAAGCACTCTAAATCCTACCTTGGAACCAGAGTGTTGATGTGAAGATGTTACTGCTGTCACCAAGAGTACGCTCCACTTTTCCTCCTGCTTAGCTCTAAATTTAGAAAGTCCTGGCAGAGGCATCTGATTAGCCAAGCCTTGGTTACATGGCTGCAGAGGATGCTGGGAAGGCAAGTACCTGCTCTTTCACATGGTGGGAGGTGGGCTCTTATCTTACATCTAGATTTGTGGTATGTTTCCCAGCATGAGAAGGGGTTTCAGCTGAAGGCTGGTCAAGAACACCTATGCCCACTGCAAGGCTGTGTGGGCTCCCAAGCCTTCAAACTGTGACTTTTCCCTTCGGGGGTGTGGAGGAGACATTGGAGAGCTCTGAGCTTAAGTTATGGATTTGTTGGGGTGGATTTTGTTGTTGTTCTTTTTTTTTATTGTAACAGATTTATTGAGATACAATTCACATATACCATACAATTTACTCATTTAAAATGTACAAGTCAGCAGCCCGCACACTGAGCTATACCGGCCAGTTCAATTCTGAGTCAGGGCACACTCCTGGGTTGCAGGCCAGGTCCCCAGTGGGGGCCACGTGAGAGGCAACCACACATTGATGTTTCTCTCCCTGTCCTTCTCCCTTCCTTCCCCTCTCTCTAAAAATAAATAAGATCTTTTTTTTAAAAAAGTGAACAAAAAAAATGTCCAAGTCAGTGATTTTTAGTACACTCATAGAATAGTGCAACCACTATCACAATCAATTTCTTTTAAAAGATTTTATTTATTTATTCTTTTTAAATAAAAAAGAATGGCCTGGACCAGTAAGCGAGTAGGCCATGATCTCCGGCACGAAGGTGGAGAGGCAACCCAGGCGGAACACTACAGCAGCGGGGTGTGCTGGGGCCTGCCACAGCCTGAGACTGCGGCTGCCTGGGGCTCTGCTGTGAGGACCAGCGACAGCTCCATGGGGCCACCCTACCGTAAAACAAAGCAAGCACAGGCCCTTCATGTCCACCCTGTTGGCCCTCTGGTTCATTACCTTGTCCTGGGCACCCTGACTCTCCCAAGTCCTGACCTCTTTTTCCCTTACGGATTCTATTCCAAATCTGTCCTGGGTGGCACCCAGTTCTCTCTGTCTGGCTTCTGAACCCTGTCACCACCTGACTCACCCCTTTACCCGCCTCCTTTCTTCTGTAGTTTTCTCCTAGTCACCTCTTGGCTGCAAGAACCATGGACTCAGGATGCCTGGGTCACTCCTTCCCTCCTCCCCCGATGGCCTTTGCCAAAAGGCAGAGCTCCACTCCTGGCACTCAGCCCCCTACCCTGACCCATCCTGCCTCGGTGCGGGTGGTGCTGGGGTGGGGGGGCGGGCATCGCAGTGCAGTCCTGCCTACTGGGCTGGTTGGGGTTTGGCTTTGGTGACAGTGGGCTGCTCTGCACAGCCAGGAGGTGGGCAACGAGGAGGAGAGCTCCATCTAGGTCCGCTTCCAACCCAGACCCTAAAGTGTCTGGATGGCACACATTTGGCACTGGGTCCCTTCAAGTGCCCTCTTTCTCACCGTCCCGGTCAGCCTTACTGGGGAAGGCACACTCACTGCTGGGTGTGGTGGCCACTGGCAAAGCCTCACCCTGTCAAATATTCCCACACCCAATGCTCGTCAGAATCCCGCAGTGACGGACCCAGTTCCACAAAGAAGGAAAATGGAGCCCTGCTGACCACACCCCCTCCAAGAAGGGGGAGGTCCATCCCTGTCCACTTCGTCCCTGTCCTGCCAGTCATACCTGACTCCTCCACCTTCCTCCCCAGGCTGTCACCCTCACCCTACAAGTGGCTGCTGGCACAAGATGACCTTGGAACCAGAGGACTCTTCTTCCCATTTAGCCAGGAAAGTGCCCCGTGACCCTGTCAGATCCCTAGTAGTCACCACACAGGTCATGTCCTCCAACTCCTGTGTTTTATTTTTGTAGAAAGCCCCAGCTCTGGTCCCATCTCCAGGGCTACCGAAAGGTAGAGAAGCTCTGGGTGACGGTGCAGGAGGCATAGGGCACCCCCCGAGAGCGAATCTGCAGGGTGTGGAAGGTGAGGGGTGGGTTGGGGCCTGAGGAGTCCGGGTTTAAGGACTCGGTGTGAGGCTCCATCACAGTCACGGGGACTGCATAGGACAGCATCTGGGGCCGGTCATCGTGACGTCTCACCGTGCCCTTGCCCAGGAGGTGCAGGATGGAGGAGAGGACATCGGTACTGCTGCAGGCAGACCCCCTACCCAGGCTGCTGACCAACCCCCTGGGAGGACATGGGCCCTTCTGCCAAGCCTCCAGCACCTGGTATGGAGAAGGAAGGGGGAAAAACAGGTCAGACACCCCACATCTTGCTTCCACCCCAGCACAAGCTGCCAGAGCAGTCAGTTCTAAGGACACCAGGTGCACGCCAACCTCAATCTTCATGCCTACAGGCACCATAGTGAATCAGAGGCTTCAAACGTGGACTCACCTGCCACTCTGGACCACATCCCCGCCACCCCAAAGCTCCCTCATCCAGTGCCCACCCCCACCTACCAGACAGACAAGCTGATCGATGTGCAGCCCCTGGTCCCCATGGGCCTTGAGGATTCGGACAATGAGGCAGTTCAGAAGGTTCCGTCTCTTCTCCAGGTTCCGGCCCTCTTCATCTTCAGCTTTCAGGTAGGTCTGAGGTGGGATGAGCCACACACTGCCCCTCCTTGGCCTGGGCTCCTCGCTGTCATCTCGAACCTTGAGCACACCTGAAACAAGCAAGAGCCCCTCGGTGGGGTGACGTACGATGAGGCTGGCCCCGGCCCAAGCCCCTCTGGCCTAAGTACGAACCTCCTGGGACATCCTTTTGCATGTGAAGGTCCAGGGGGCCTCTCGAAGAGGTGAGAAGCCCAACTGCCTGACTCAGCATCTCTGGAGAGAGCCCCGAGAGCGCCAGCAGACTTTCTATGGAGACTTCCTTAGAGAAGAGAAAGGAACATTCAGGGCTTCCCCCAAAAGTGGGACAGAGAGGGTGGAGGGGAGGAGGATGGGAGTCAAAGTTTAGGAAGAAAGGTAAGAGGCAGGGTGGGAGAGAGCAGGGAGGAAGACAGCCGGGCCACCTTCAGGTCATTGAGACACAGCAGCAGCCACATCTGCACGGTGGACACGTGCAGGGTCTGGTCCCCAAACTGCAGCTCAGCCCGGCCCA